GAGATTTCCTGCATCACAACACATTTGTGCAACATCCACCCCAAGCAATGTTTCAAGTCTTCAAGTCCTGGCTCAGTGGTCATAGTTGGGAAGTTCTTGCGCTTCTGGATGAAGCATGACTGGTTCCTCAACGCAAGAATAAATACAGCTGCATAGGCCTGTCTACCGCATTGTTGTATATACCAACACTATTTTCCAAAAGCGATCATTGTTTCCCTTAGGTCATGGCTTCACACACTCCCAAAGAAGATCTGGAGCAGCCATGATGCAAGCTGCCACTTCCGCGCGCGGCTAAGTGAGGCAGCAATCCCTTTGCCAAAATGGCAGCGGATCAATGCAAGGTAAATCACAATTCACTCACCTGCACGGAAAACCGCAGTGTGAAATTATGGTTTCTTCTGAAATCTCGATTTTCTTGCCCGCCCTGCCCCCCCCCCGGTGCAAACATATGAAAATTCCCTTGGTGCTTGGCAGTCTTGAACTTCTCAACCTTCTTAGCATCTTTGCTGTCAAGCCTGACTTCAAGTTTCTCTTAGACCCTTGTATTCAACCTTGAATGTGTGTAGTTTTGCAGCTTCATCAACAGCTGTGGCCGCTCACACCACAACGTTGCTCCGCTGGGGACACAAACCAAAGAGCCGCTATTGCATATGGTGGCCATTGGTGGCCACTATCACCCCTACAGCACATGCCTTCGCTCCGTACGATCCAATGATCGCTCTGCCCGCAGAATGGCTGCCTACAAGCACTGTTCGCTTTTCCCCGGGCCCGGTGGCCAATTCCAGTATTGCTCACAAAACTATTGGAAACGTCTGTGCATATCAGCACCAGAATTAGAATCTATCATGTCAAAATGATTCAGAATACTGTGTCTTGCGCATCTCTTCCACTTTCATCCCCTTTCTCTGCAGCACAATAGCACAGGCACAGCCGGCACAGCACCTCCACATCCAAAGCATGCTTTTCCAGTTGCTTCTTCATCTCAGCGAGCTCCCCAGTGCGCCTGACATCTGACATCTGACACGTCGTCTCAGTGAACCAAGCCCAAGCCCAAGCTACACCGCTGCCATGGTCCAGTGCCTGGAAAGGCAATCCTCTGTTCTGTGGTTGGCCCGGTTGGTGTCCTAGATTCAGCAACTCTACTCATCTCTGCCGTCACTCAATCAACTCATAATAACTCATATCTGAATCTCGGGTTGTCATGTTTGTGGAGGTATCCTGCTTCACCTTGAATATAGTCTCCAAACTCTTGTTGCGGTGGCAGCTGCATTTCTCCAAGAGTTTGAGAGTGTCCTTCAAGCACAGTCGGTCGATAAATGTCGTTTCCAAATGTTGGGCAGGGGACTACTTTTTGAAGCTCTGACATAAGAGAATAATCATAAAAATTCATAAAATAGATCAACGGATGTGACACGCTGTCCGCAATGAGCTCTTTGGAGGCTTGCTCGGCTTTCTTCTGCTCCTCAGCCGACGCAAAGGTACGGAAGATTGATAGCCTCTTCAAACACCAATGTTTTTTACCACTCACGCCTGGCCTCGGGAGAAAGTGTGTGTGATGTACGCTCATTTGATGCCTCGGGGCAAGTGAAGATGTTGTGCGTGCGTATTTCAGCTGCTTCGCTTGCAACCCGAAACCTTGCCTCCTCGCCTTCTTTGGGTGCCTGGCACTTAGACGAGTTGTGATCCTTCCGCAAAAAAAATTTGGGAAAACGCTGTCAATTCGATACTATCCCCTTTACCTAAAGACCAATCCGCAGGCCTCCTCAGCCGGCTTCTCATCCTTAGTTTCCTTGGCTGCTTCCTTCGGCTCCTTTGCAGCTTCCTTTGGCTCCTTAGCGGCTTCTTTGGGCTCCTTAGCGGCTTCCTTGGGCTCCTTAGCGGCTTCTTTGGGCTCCTTAGCGGCTTCCTTGGGTTCCTTAGCGGCTTCCTTAGCGGCTTCCTTGGGCTCCTTTGCAGTTTCTTTTGCTGCCTGCCATTGCCAAAATTCGAGCACGGTGCAGTTTACTTCTGAGATGATGAGCTGAGTCGCAAGTCCTCACGTCCATATGTTCGCCTCATTTGTTTCTTTTGCGGCAGCCTGGAGAGAACCAAAAGCGAGCATGAGTTTTGCAGTCGTTTTCATAGCGCTGTTTCTACGGTCTATAGAGTCTATAGAGTATATAGAGTCTATAGAGTCTATAGAGTCTATAGAGTCTATGGAGTCTATAGAGTCTATAGTCTATTCTGCTATATCCTGCCCATTGTTACCAAGGTCTCAGAAAGAAACTCCTGGCGAACTAATGAGTGTTTTGGTGGCATTCATGCAGTCAGTCAAGACAGGTGTTTCGAAAATAAAGTCTGAGCCTCGCCATTGGGAGCAGCCTCCTGTTCACACAACTTCTTCAAATCAACCAGCGAGAAACACATAGATATCATAGATCATTGCAACATATCGCCTACAAAAAGGTGCTGGATTGAGATTCCCTGAGTGTTGTCTCCTCTGGAAAGGTGACCTCCTTCTCCGCATTTCCCTTTTTGGGGCTGTTGCTCGCCTTCGCAGCTGTTCTCAGGCAAGCCTATTCCTTCAAATACAGACCAATCTGCCGCGAGACCGGTCAGAATTCGCTAGGAAAGGTTTAATGCCTGTTGGCCATGGCTTGTTTTTTGGGGATTCGCATGTCCAGGAATGACGAAGCAGAAATGCGCAATAGTTAGTATAATTTTAAAAAAAACAAATCCGTTTAGGCGAGAATTTAGGCTCAGGCAAGAATTGCCGGTCGGGCAGGAAAAAGGTTACATAGACAGACAGGCAGACAGACAAACAGACAGACCGACCGACGGACGGACGGACGGGCGAAGGACGAGATAGATAGATAGACAGACAGACAGACAGACAGAGAGAGAGAAAGAGATAGATAGATAGATAGATAGATAGATAGAGAGAGAGACAGACAGACAGACAGACAGACAGACAGACAGACAGACAGACAGACAGACAGACAGACAGCCAGACAGACAGACAGACAGACAGACAGACAGACAGACAGACAGACAGACAGACAGACAGACAGACAGACAGACAGACAGACAGACAGACAGACAGAGAGAGAGACAGACAGACAGAGAGAGAGAGAGAGATAGATAGACAGATAGATAGATAGACAGACAGACAGACAGAGATAGATAGATAGATAGATAGATAGAATAAATAGATTGATAGAATAAATAGATAGAATAACTAGATAGAATAAATAGATAGAATAAATAGATAGAATAAATAGATAGAATAAATAGATAGAATAAAAAGATAGAATAAATAGATAGAATAAATAGATAGAATAAATAGATAGAATAAATAGATAGAATAAATAGGTAGAATAGATATATAGAATAGATATATAGAATAGATAGATAGAATAGATAGATAGAATAGATAGATAGAAAAGATAGAATAGATAGAATAGATAGAATAGATAGAATAGATAGAATAGATAGAAAGATAGATAGATAGATAGACAGACAGATAGATAGACAGACAGACAGACAGAGAGAGAGAGAGAGATAGATAGATAGATGGATAGATAGATAGACAGACAGACAGACAGAGAGAGAGAGAGAGAGATAGATAGATAGATAGATAGGCTAGCCTAGCTAGCCTAGCTAGCCTAGCTAGCCTAGCTAGCCTAGCTAGCCTAGCTAGCCTAGCTAGCCTAGCCAGCCTAGCCAGCCTAGCTAGCTAGCTATATAGGTAAGTAGATAGATAGGCAACTTCGAGGAAAGTGAATAAGAAAACGAATCTAGCATACGCATCATACTCTGGCAATGGTATGCAAAGGACGTGTGCACTGCATAGATTGGACGTCTCCATTCCATCCCATGCCCCAGGCCTTTGGAGACTTGACCGGTGGAAGAGCCACCTGTGGCCTCAACGCAGGAGAACTGCCGAGAAAATATGGAGGGATTGGTAGCTTGGGTGTCTCCATTCTCAGCCAGTCCTTGAGTGCGAAGTCCATGTGAAACAAAACATGTCCAAAAACTGTTCCAAGTTCCCAACGACAGCGTCTTCATATCTTCCATCATCTGGAGGCGCCTTGGCGAGTGCAAAGGGTCAAGATCATTGATCATTGGGGACATGTTTTTTCTCAATAAGCCTGCAGTGTAATGATGTAATGGACTCTGCTGCTTCACCTCGCATTTCCAACGACTGCCATTCTCTTGTTCAGCGTTTTCTTGTTGATTTGTGAGTGCAGCGCCGAAAGCCAGTGTCCTCTGACAAGAACTTCCGTTTGTCCCTGATCAATGAGGAGTTCGGAAGTTCGGACAGCCCTTTTGATGCCCAGTATTAGAAGCATCTGCCGCATCTGCCTCATATCGTCCACAATCTTCTTCCCTTGGGTCTCCAGTTCCAAAAGCTCCTTTGCAGCTAAGGAGCAAGTCGTGGTTTTTGTGCTTTGCAATTCAGAGCGGAAAAGAATATAAAAACAAGCAGGGCACAAGCAGGGCAAACAAAAATCGGCCTGGCGAGATGCTTCCAAGATTTGCTTCTCGGAGTTCAGTGCCTGCAGCTGCATACAGCATACACCGCAAAATCCGTACAGCTGAAGTCTGGAAGCTCTTCTCGGTCTTCATGGCTCAGTCTGGGCAGGAGACGTCAGTCAAGGCCTGAGCAAAAGGAGCGAGCAACAGCACTCAAAAATACTCATAATTCAGAATGTTGCTATATTGCACTGGTTTCATGCAGCACCGACTCGCAGTTTCCGCGGATTCTCTGGACCCGAACATCTTTGAATTTCTCTGGTTCGGGTCGTTTGGAACGCAGCTCCAGGCGCCGCTCGCAGACCTAAGGCTCAAACAGCAGTGCAGCAACACGCTTCAGTGCCATTCATTGCTTCAGTTTGTTTCAGTTGTGTATATATATATATCTATCTATCTATCTATCTATATGTGTGGGTGCGTATAATTTGTGGGCGAGACGGACACTGGCCGCTCAGCTGTTTTTACCCACGCACGCAAGTCGCGGGCGGCGGTCGAGACGACCCTGCAAGCAGCTACGCCTACGCTAAGCTAACGAGCCACTTGAGCCAAAAGGCATACACTGTACACTGTAAAACGCAACAAGTGAAACACAAAAGACAGCTACGGTGGACCTACTGCACGGCTTAGCTACGTCTAGCTACACTCGCCCCTCAGCTGGGTTCAGCCACGTGCAAAGCCAGCTTTTCAAGTGCGGTCCACCGCGTAGTGTCGCGATACGCAGACACCACCGCGAGGTAGACTGAAAATGCGATGCCATACTGCACCAGATTTCAATCTTCCCCTCATTGGACTTCAGCAGCTGAACTGGCTGCGCCGGCCCTGCGTCGGTCGAAGCCTTGCTCTGTCTCGAACTGGTCGATATTCGAACCATTTTCAAATGCTTCTTCGAAGGCTGACTCCCAGCAACGGACCAGCTCTGTTCCAAAGTTTACGCTGATACCTATGCTGGCTTCCTTGTTGGCCTTCGAGCTCGTGGTGAAGTTACAACTTCCAACCAACATATCGACCTTGTCCCCAGGGTGGCACCAGATCATGACGCTTTTCGCGTGATGAAGCCCTTGGAGTCGGCTGCCAACGCGCACGGAGCGACCATCACTGCGGTAGGCCTGATTGACGCCTAGACCCGAAGCCAGTTTCACTTTGGTCCCTACGCCTCTCAATTCTTTCAGGACCTGAAGCTGCTGTTTGGTTTTTCCGGACGCCTGCGAACGATCGCAGACTAGGTAGGTATCGCAGCCACGGCTTGCTGCTGACCTAACGGCTTCCACGACGTCCGGCTGATCGAAACTGTAGGCCCTAATGCAAGCCTTGCTGCCCTTGCCCAGCTTGCTGAAATTGATCGTGATCCATTCAAAGACCTCGCCATCTTTCAGGAACACTACCTTGGCTTGGTCTCCGTCTCCACTGTGGTGGGCATGTTCGGGCAGCGCCAACAGGCTTTGCTCAGGCCTTTCTTCGACCAACCCAGTATCGAGGCTGAGGGATTCCCTGATGACCTTCCTTTTGAATGCACCATCATCCCTCTCTGAACTCCTTGCGGCCTCCTGGGCCGTCGGGTAGGCGGACGCAGCGCTCACTGTCAGCTGCTTGGCCTTCCCGACCAGTCCTTGGAAACAGCCAGAAAAGCTAGCCACAGAGCCTGCTTGGCCCAATGCTGCTTGGCCACGTCGCACAGCGACGGGTTGTTCTGGCCTGCTTGGAAGCGCAGTCAGCGCTGCCAAGGCTGCTTGGGTGTGCGGGCAGCTTCCTTTGCTCAAGAACGTCCGGCAAGCGCACCCTGCCTGCCGACCTGCTATCCGCACCCTGTGAAGACCCTTGGTGCCGGCCACGTCCCACAAGGTGACCTCTCCTCGCAGTTCCACGAGATGGGCCTTGTCCGTATTCCCGTGGCCATAGCGGCACCAAAAGTTCAGAACCTTACTGGACAGGTACCAGGTCATCATTACCTGGAGGGCGATGCCTGCAGCGGCGATCAGCATCTTGAGCTGATTTCCGCCTTCTGTCACGATCTCCTGGTAGGTTTCCACAGTGGTGGAGATCGCATCCTGGATGGCCTCCGAAGTGACCGCGACCACTTCTTCTGACTCCTTCAGAACCGGGAAAGCCATCAGGATGGCAAACGCTCCTGCCATTTGGTTAAGGTTCCAACCATTCCCGTTGGAGGCTCTCTTGGCCTGGTTACGGCTCTTCCGGCTGATGGACCAAGAGTACACCTTCTTTTTAGGCTTTTTCTTCTTACCCTTCTTGTGCGCCTTCTGGCTACCCGCGCGAGGTCGCGAATACGCAGACCCCGCCGCGCGCGCCACCTTGTGAAGGCGCTTCGCCACACCTGAGCGTCGGCCGACCTTTTTCTTGTGCTTGGCGCCACCCCTTTTCTTTTTCTTGGACCTCAGGTGGAGACCCTGCCGGGCTTCATCTTCCTTTTGAAATCCCGTAGGTCCCATGGCCTGGGATCCTCGACCGACCTTGTCATCCTCATCTGAAGACGGCAGGTCATGCTCAGGTCGGGCACGGCCGCACTTGTAGCACACATGCCTGAAGGCGAGGTTCTCGCTCTGACACCTGGCACAATTCCATTGCGAGGACCTGAGTGCCGCCTCCAAAGCAGTGCGGCGACTCCTTTTCTGACCCTTCGCAGGTCGGCTTCTAGCCCAAGCTCGGAAGTTGGCTGCATAGGTCCCTTCGCACCTTGATCCCTTGGACCATCCCACGCAGACATCACTGTCGGGCGGTGCGACCGTTCCACAAAGGTCACACTCCCAGCTGCCGGCCGCGTACGTCAGCTCCGGCACACCATCATCGACGTGCCAGGCTGCGCCCACTGCTAGGCGCGGTACTCCAGCCACCGCCTGCCTTTCCAACCGACGGCGAGCGTCGTCTTGACCCACCTCCTTGCGGTGCAGCGCTGCCCGCTTCCGCGCACGCAGCTCCCGCTTTAGCTGGCGGATAGGCTCTTGAGCCCTCACTCCTGCTGCAAACCTCGAGTCCGCCCCTTGGACTGTGGGTTGAGCGACTCCAGGAGCCAACGCCGCTTCGAGCCTATCGTCGGCGCCTTCCACAGTCCTGGCGACCGCCTTTCCGTACTCGTAGGCTTCGTACGTAGGCTCTGGTTTCCCAGCTCGGCGGCGAATCACCGCAGTAGCAGTCGCGCTTGCCGTGATTGCCTTGATGTTGCGATTCAGCTCCCGCTCACCTCCTTCTGTGGGGCGATCCTTCTGCTTCTCGACCAGTCTCGAGAGGGCTGGAGATCGTCCGAACTGGTGAGTCAACTCATCAACTGCAACCCTGGCCAGCGTGTTCTCCACCGCCCTCTGAGCCCACGTCCGACGGCTTGACGACCAGATATCCTGCAGCTCTTCCTTCGACATTTCACCACGTTGGCGGTTCGGCTCTCCGCTCTCTTCTCCGCGACCAGGCCGCGAAGACGCAGACCCGGCCCGCGGGGGCTCCTCCTCGGTTTTTACTTCTTCGAAGTTTGGGCCAACAGGGGACTCCTCCTTTACTTCTTCGAAGTTTGGGCCAACAGGGGACTCCTCCTTTACTTCTTCGAAGTCTGGATCAACAGGGGACTCCTCTTTGACTTCTTCGAAGTCTGGATCGACAGGGGACTCCTCTTTGACATCCTTTCCGTCATCTGGAGCCGCGGGTGCAATGACCTCTTTCCCTTGTGAGTCGCGAACGACCCCTGAACTGCTTGCTTGTTCTGGTCCAGTTGCACGCCCCTCAGGTCGAGGAGTGCTCTCTGCTTCACTTTCCGAAGAGGAGCTTGTCGTATCATACGAATCTCCTGTTGGCAGCGGCTCTGCTTCTGCAAAGCCTACGTCCGGAGTCCACAAGGTCGCTCCGAGACCTCCCGAATCATGGTAGTAGACTCGGATGCTTTCAAATGCTTTGGCCGGAACATCAGACGACAGGATTACTCCATCCTTTCCTTGGCGGAGGGAGCAACCGGCGTCGCGCAGGTCGTCTATTGTAGACAGAACAGCCACATCTGCACCGCCTCGAACACCTGCTTTATTGCCTTCGACCCCTTCCGCGTTGGCGGACCAGTGGACGAACAGCCGCCCTTCTCCGACTCGACCCGTTCCGCCAGCAAGCAACCCCTTTTCTGCTATTCCGGCAACACGCTCCTTGAACATGCCATGCAGGAGTCGCGTGCTACCGGGCAGGCTGACCTTGCTGGTGAAGTCATGAGGTCGAAGCCCGCTGTCCGAGGAGTGGCCCTGTAAGGCGCGCACCCAGTCCCCAAGACTTTCCAGGCGCACCTTGGGACCGCGGCTTTGCCACTCGACAGACCTCCTCACGTCTTCGACCGCGACTCCGACTCGGTCCGCAACCAGACGGATAGGTGCCCAACCATCCGCTTGCAACTGGCCACGCATCCCGTATTCTCCATGTCGGAGGGCCCGCGTCAGGGCATACTCCAGGTCGCCCCAATTCTTCTGCGGGTTCCTTCGACCACGGTGCGCCTTTTTCCACGACGCCATTGTGCCGCGGTCGAGTGGCGAACCGCACACTCGACCCGCGGCTTCGCGGTCAGGTCGCGAAACGCTAACCTGACCCGCGATGGGTTTCCACTGCTTTGGTATTCCGGTCCTTCGGCAGCTGGCGAACCTAACCACGCGACCACCGACCTGCTCACCAAACCCAGACCCAACCCGGAAGCTGGGCTTCGAGCCAAACAGCTGCGGGAAACCACACCTGGACCCAGACAACCACCTGGACCCAACCAACCACCTAGACCTAACCAACCTCACGACCAGGAAACCTAACACAACCTTAGAACCACGACCACCAAAACGCGTCGTGGGGGAAAGCCCCTACAGACCGCGCTACAGCTCTGGTGGGGTAATTATGGTCCGATTCCTTTTCGTCATGCTTAACCTTAGGGGTCGAACCTACATTCCCTGGTTTGATACCTAAGGCATCCATAGCTTCCTTTGGGGGTTGACCGACTCCTACAGGTGAGACGCGCATCGCTCTTTTGATCTCTTCGTCGAATTCCTTGTCAGTCATGAACTTTTTGTCAATGACTCTTCCCGTTCGCACTGTGAGATCGTCCACATAGGCGATCCACTCCTTGGTATATTTCATTTGCCTGCCTCGTCCTGGACCAAAAGCACGGTCCACGACGTAGGAGAAATCATCCGGCCCGTTCACAGGCCCGAACGTCAGGCAAACGGGGAGAAACTTGCCAGAGCGTGCCACGATGGCTAGCACCTCCATAGCCCTTCTGGTATTCTGGATTTGGTTGAACCCCGTGACCGCATCCACGAAGGAATACCAGATGGACCCCGCACATTGGGACAGGACGTCCGTTGCCTTCCTGCAGTAGTACGTGCTCCTCAGCACCCGGGCGTTTACACGCCGGTAATCTACCACCAGGCGTCTCTTGCGGCTCCTCTTGTGGGCTGGTGCCTCCTTTGTCGGAAATGGTGGGGAACCCCAGGCAGACGCCCCACGGACCAATTGGCCACGCTGCACTTCCTCCTCCAATCGCTCATCTACCCACGCAGCACTCTCTCCCTTGAGGGAATGGGGTTGAAGCGATACTGGAGGTCCTGTTGGGACGCAATCATGGGCAACGCTTCGGACCGTAGTCCTTGGCGTGCCTTCTAGCCAAAAGGCCGCCGCCTTTCTGGAGAGAACATCTCTACAGGCCCCGAGATCGTCTGCATTCAATTCCGCAGTAGGAGGTGTCGCATCAGCACCAAATCCAAGTCCATCAACGACCTGTTTCCGGTATTCAGGCGTCCTCCTCGGATCATCTACCACTTCCTGCCCACTAAGACGGTATACAGCAAGATCCGCTTTGACTTCATCCCAGTCACCCTTGGACGCTCTTCCGTCCCACAGCTTGGTCATCCTCTGATGAAGCTCTGCAAGCTCCTGCTCGAGCTTTTCCCGACTCCGAGGCGAGAGATCCGGACCAACGTTCACGTCCTGGTCGGGGATCTTCGCAGCTTCCATGTCCCGAGCATCGGCGGATCCACCGCCAGATGTCGCGACTACGTCTCCTTGTGAGGACCGCGCACCGACGGGAAACCCAATCGGTGCCTCGGCGAAGCTGGAACTATCCAACCTCTTCAGATTTCGTATTTGGAGATTGCGCGAAAGAAGTGCTTGCTTGGTCAGCCGCCAGTAGGTACTACAACAGACCGGCGTGTAGTCTCCCTTATGGCTGTCCGAGCGGCCAGAGTCATGCACATGTTCAGTAGCAGAAAGAGCATCTGGCCGACCACAACGGGCACTCAGCTCAGACAAATCATAGTTGCCAAGCCACAGCTGCGCACCTTCGACGCCCGAACCATATTGGCACTGGTCTACCCGGACCACGTTCCATGGTTTAGCCGGTTGGCGCAGAGGGCCAAAAGCAGAGACGAAATCGTTTGCACCGACGACTTCAGAGTGAAGAGGAACTTCCAAGGTCCCCAGCCTCCCTTGGTCTTGCTGACCCTTAAGTATCGCCACCACATCAGCCCCAGGCCCAGCAGAGCGCTCGGAAGGCAGCTTGATGTGAATGACCAGCGGCTCTAGCCACTCGATCAGCCGACTTACCAGTTCCTGATCCAGCACCTGGGTCAGATCCCAACTTCGACCATAGGACGGACTCCCACCGTTAACAGCTGGAGCACACACAAGACCCAAAGAGCGCGCTACAGAGGTCAGCATAGCAGTTTCTGAGCCAATTTCCAAGAAAACCACCTTGGAGGCTCGGCCGTGCTGGATCAACCAGCGATGAAGACCTTCGACGGGCCCCTGAGCGGCTACCACACTGCTGGGCGGCGTCTCGAAGACGAGGACGCCAGCCACAGGTTGGACGCCCCTCAGCTCGGCGGTTTCGGCGATGCCGACTGCATCTTCGTGAAGGCGATAGCCAGCCTTGTCCAGCTTCCGGCTAGTAGCAGCTGCGAGCACGCCATCCTTGGAGATGTCGGCCTTGGTGATAACTTCCTTCAGGCGGACCTGGTCCAAGGACGGACGGGTGCCATCTGCAGACACTTCTCCGTGCTCATCCAAATAAGCGAGGACCCATTTGACTCGGAGGGAGCCGACCAGAGGCCTGTAGACGTGAACCCCAATGGTACCTTCTGCGACGGATACCTGGGTCACCCTGCCCAACTTGCAGACCTTGGCTCCACGGGTATACGCCACAGAATCCCCAATGCGAAGGACGAATTGGCGACCCCTGCGCTGCATCACGAACTCGTACTGCTCACCTTGACCATGCATTCGTTGGCCGAGAGAAGGGGCAGCACCTTGCGCATCTTGCGACAGATCCAATTCCACAACAGGAAGACGCTCCTCAACGTCTCCTGGAACTATAACACAATCTTCAGCGTGAGCTTCAAAAGGGCCTTGGCGATCCTTGTCTGTGATGCCCGGGACGGAACGCAGCACCAGCTTGTTGCCGTGAACCGAAACAATTTCCCACGGACCGGACAGACCACGACGCCACGGAACACGCCCCGCCCCCTCTGGCCGAGACGTGGGGGAATGCCAAACGACACGATCCCCTGGCTTCAAATCAACAAATCGTCGATACCGATTGGCCAGCTTTGCACGTGCTTCTGAAGACTGCTCCCAATGCTTCTGGGCTTTCTTGGCAAGGACAGAGAACTGACCGAATTGTCTTCGAGACCAATCAGACATAGGTTCAAACTGCATTGCCTCCCGGATCAAGTCCTTTTCGAGTCCAAAACCCAAAGACCAGGCCCGTTCCAGGTCTCTCGGGCAATACCCATGTGGCCCAGGACTTGTGTCCAGCATGAATTCCACCAAGGGGAGGAGCTCTGACCATTCGTCAGACTCTCCGCGGACCAGTTCCTTCACAATGATCCCCAAAACCTTTTGCACTTCCTGGTGCATCCGCTCATTAGCTCCCATCTCACATGGTCTCATGGCCATGCTGAAGCGCTGCTGGACTCCCATCAAGGCGCAGAACTCTGCCATCATGGTGTTCTTGAATTCCGTGCCTCTGTCACTTCTGACCAACGTGGGGATAGTCCTTGAGCGGAAGATGCAACGAGCGAAGCTTCTCCGGACTTCCGCGTGCGTCAAGGACCTCATTGGTTCTATCAGCACTGCGTGCGACAAACAGTCCAGATAGGTGAGGGTATATCGGTAGCCCCACCGGTCTTCACGATTAGGACCTTCACAATCAACTGACACCTCTTGCCAGCACGAATCAGCAAGACACTTCATTGACTGCGCAGTGACCTTAGTCGGCCTTGACCGTGCCTTGAGGCATGCCAAACACTGGCTTGTCCACTTCTTGACGTCCTCCTGCATGGACGGCCACCAAACGGCTCTGGAGAGAATTTGCAGCGTTCTTTCTGCAGAACGATGCCCCCCAGTAGCACCATAATGGGCTTGGTCAAAACAGCTTTTCCTGAACGTGAGTCCATTAATCCCCACGATTCCAATTGGAATAACAGGAACCCAGACCTTGTCTCCAGTGACTAAAGCCACTTGCCGTTCCAAAAGGCCATCCGCCCCCAGGCGGAAAGGATCACCGGTCCTTCGGAAGTGGCCAGCCAGCGACTCATCCTTTCTCTGCGCCTCGTACCAAAGGCTGCGCAAAGAGCCCGTCACCGAGAATTCCGCGACTCCGGCGTGGACACGGGCTTCCTCAGCTAGCTCAGCTCTCAGCCGTCCAACGTCCTGGCCTGACGGCACGTCTTCATCAAGACCGTCCTCGAGAGCCACATATGTAGAGCCACCGTGAGAAGGCTGACGGGACTCGGGCTCCTCAAGGTTCCCAAGCCATTGCGTCATAACCCAAGCCTTAGAACGAACTTCTACGACCATCCTGATCTTCCAGTCCTGCCCAAGAAATGCCAAGGTCGGCCGAGACCCATGCTCGTCGACTTTGACCTTTTTCCCCAGTTCTAGTTCAAACCAGAAACTCCCTGGTGTAGGTCTGGAGAAGGCCACCAACACTTCCTTCTGAACCAGATCTCGACGATGGCCGATGCTGGCCTTTCCGTCACCATCATCCCATTTTACCACTTTGGTGACCTGGCCCAACAGGGATAGGAGCCTCGCGAATCCCGCAGGCCAGTCAAGCCGCGGATTCTCATCGCTCCACAGCTTTGAGCACACTTGGTCCACTAAGGCCATATGATTGAACCAATTGACACGATCCACATGCCATTTCGGCTTGCAAGGCTTCACCTGATCAGCCTGACAGCAATTTCGAAGTTGACAGACGCTACCGTCCTCTTGAACACTCCAGAGGACGATGAACTTCCAAGGCCGCTCCGCAGCACACTCCGCTGGAAACGCCTCACCGCGTCTCCAGGCTCGGATCCTAACTTGTCCAAACCCGCCCGGAACATCATGAAATCCAGAGGGCATTTTCGAATCGATCCACAGCTGGACCCATCTGACAATCATGGGACTTTTCAGAACGTAAACCCTGGAGCGACCTCCGTGATCTGAAAAAGAAAGTATTTCCTCGGCGAGCAGCTCGGCCTCAGGGAGGACTTCGGCATCTTTTTCTGCCAGGGCCCTAGCGGAAGCTTCCATATCATCCGCTGCTTCCTTCTGAATGCAGGACACACATCTAGCGAACACGTACGCTCGCTTCCCGCATGCGCACTGCCCATTGTGCTCGAACACTTCGATCGAAGGCTCCTTGGCCAAACTGATCAAATTCACGGAAGCGATCTCCTTGATCTCCCCAGCTTTAAGCACTTCCGTGACCCGACGAACACCTTCCAGGTTTGGGCCACGTGTCACAATTCCATATGCCCTGAGAGGCTCAACCGGAAACTCCTTTCCAATTTCAGGACAGGAAAGAAGAAGCAGATCCGCCCCCGGGGAAGTCTTCCACATCCGCGGGTTGATGGCCCAAAATGCCTTGATCTGAGCCCATCCGGCCACGACAGTTTGGATTTCTTTTCGCTGCAGGTTTCGAGCCTGCAACGTAACTTCCACCACCAATGGAAAACGAAGCATGCCGGCAATGATACCGCCCTGGCCGAGTCCCACCACGAAATCGGGCAAGTACCCGCCAATGCTCCGAAGTGCCTTAGCACACGAAGTCAGGAGATCCACCCTGACCCGCTTGGTCTGCCTGTCTCCTTTCAACAGGGCGTTCGCGCCATCCAGGTGCGAGCAACGACCATTATCATCCTCAAAGGCCCCGTAGGTAGCTCTTACTCCCACGCATCGAATGCTGGAAACACAATTGGATCTTTTGAACTTCTGCGGCCGTACGGCTGGCTTCTTCGTAATCGGCAATAACCAAAACTTTGATTTCAGACCCTGACACACCTCCCGCGTAGCTGCGCGAAACAACGCAGCTACCGCTGGAGAGTGAGCCAGTGTGCTCGGCGCGACGACGCGATTCGCTGTCATCACCGCCAGGAGACGGGACGGCGTCATTTCCGATAGCCCAAGCAACTGGGATGTCCGGATCTTCCGTTCCATCACCCAGGTACTCTTCCAGATTGAATCCTTTAAGCTGACCGGCAAGGCCTTCCAAGTCCTTGGTCCGTTCCTGTAGCAGCTCATCTCTTTCCTTCGGATTTCTGGAGAACCCGTCTCCTAATTTGGCACTACGGCCACTCAACGACCTGATTTCAGAACCATCTGCAAGGATCTCGGCGATCCATCGAACTAGCTTGACATCACCTCCAATATCGATGTGCTGAGCTCTCGTCAGGTTTGAGTGGTCCGTCCAACAAATTGAACGGATAGTTCCGAACGTCTTGCGGGCAGCACGCTTCACCTCCAGCTGAGCAAATGCCTCTTGCACTAACGGAGCCCATGACTGTTGGGCTGGGGTCAGACTTTTAGAGTGAGTCATCAAAACTTTCATCTGAGTCAGATCCCGGCTCATCTGGAGCACAGTGCCGCCAACAGCATATCCGCTCGCGTCGGCAACTTGCTCCAAAGGGCACTCACCTGAGATTGCCGACGCTTCGTCAAAGACTGAGAGACAGATAGCCGATTCCAGCATCTTTTTGATTGCTCTGACGGCTTTACACCCGTCTGAATTGCCCGCGCCTAACCCTTCTGGAGGGAAGGCCGCGCCTGGCTTTTGGTAAGCTGAGAGCACCTTCGCACAATGTCCAAACTCTGAGGGCAAGTACGTTCTCAACCAATTTGCAGAACCAAGGAATTGTTGGATGTGCAACTTCTCCTTGAGTGGCGCAAAGTCACGGACCGCTTGAGCGCGTTCCGGATCAGGGGAAGATCCTGACCTTCCGATGATATGTCCCAAGAGTTTCCCTCCAGTACGGCACAGCTCAGCCTTCCCGACGCCATAGCTGAACCCGAAGATGATCGATTTGTCCAAGAACCCCTCGAGCGACACCAAATGATCTAAGAGGAATCGATCCGCGGACGGGTACCTCTTACCAAGATCATTCCGAAGAGCCTCATAATACCGATCTGTAGGCGTCTCCTCCGCCATCCGCTCGATTCCTCCTGGGACCTCAACAATGTGATACACTGGCTCCGTGCAGGTGCTTCTCCAATTGCGAAAACTGTGGACGCCTCCGTCTGAACGCCAGAAAAACCTGGTCTCTCCTGTCCATGTTTTGCCAGAGAGCTGACGGGACGGATCATGACGCCAGTCGTCCTCAACTGTCATCAACTGGCCATCCGTGCATTTCGCGCACGTGACCCGACGATCCGACAAGCCATCTAAGGACCATGGACAATCTGACGTTTCCGGAATATAGAGACTGTCCCGCGACTCGTTGTGAGCGCGGACAACTCCACCTGGAAACGTGGACCACTGATCCGGTTCACATTGGCCATCCTGGTATGCCATCATAGAGCTACTTCCTGCCAAGGCCCCGAGGCCGACCACGAAGGCGAGCGCGGCAGAGCGCCATATGCTCCGCCTCCGGCTTCCACTGCAGGAACGACAACCTTGGAGCGCAGTCGCTTCATAAGCCCCTGTTCTTCCACATGTTTGGCAGAATTGTTCTGCCAGAGAGCTATTCACGGCTCCGCATTCTCCGCAGCGGTCTTCCGCAGCACCTTCTAAGATGGTTTCCACAGCACCACACTCGCATGTTCCCGAACTCACGAAACCAGACCTCAGCTCTCCAACTGGAGTCCCTCTTTCCAGCGCCACTGGCTCGTCCCGAGCCGCAACCAGAAGCATGCCTTGAGATGCTCCCGTAGGCCATACGCCTGGGACGGCCTCCACTGAGCCTTCTATGGGCAACGCAGCCTCAGCAACGGAAACTTCCGGGATGCGAAGCCCAGACTCTACTGGAATGAGAGCACCTTCTCCAGGTTCCAACGTCACTGGTTCCTCTCCATCGTAGTAGAGCAAGGTTCGGTTCGAACAGACTTCAGGTTCAAAAGCCCCTACAAGTCCTCCGTCCACTGCCGATAACGTGGATTCGAAGGCGTAGGCTCTGTCCTTCCGCTCAGCGCTCAGATCCTCGCAACGAGGCATCAGGAGCCCCAATGCGTCCAAGATGTGAGCCGATGGGCCTGGACGAAAACCCAACCCGCGGCGAGCCTCGCAATCGAGAGCTCGCCCGCCGATGATCAGGCCATGCCAGTCACTCGTTCCTCTTGCAGCGATCTTGCAGCGGAGGAATATCTCCGGCCCATCCCGACATCGATTCGGATCAACTCCTTCTTGGAGCCTCACCCTGAGGACGACGGCTCCCTTCAGAGGAACCGGGGACCCACTGGCTATCCCGTGGACGAACTCCTGGTAGACCCATTTTTCAAACTGGACCACAGGGAACTTCGGGTCTTCGGGGGTCAGTCCCAGCGATGCGGCTCGATTGAGAATCGAAACAACCAGCTCCTCAGTAACATGATTGGAACCTGCACAACCATCCAGCATGGTCTCGACTCCAACTCCCAAGATCTTCGTGATCGCCTTGTATTGATATCCACCCTTTTCATTCTGCACCACCTTCCACCAATCCTGAGGCAATTGGTCTAGTTCAGTGAAAGGCTGCCCATTTGACTGGCCACTCGGGCGCGGCTCGGTCGCGAAGACGCTGACCTTGCCCGCGCCGCCGTCCTCAATCTCGGACTGGCCAGGTTGAGCCACGACAACGGAGAAAGCAGCAAATGGATTATTCATGGCTGCCCCGCTGGGGGCACCCCATCCAGCGGGCATGGTTCCGCTTGAAGAGGCGGCAGTGGAAGCGGCCAAAGTATGCGACATATCGCAGCTGTCGCCCTTCTTACATGCTCCTCTTTTGGCAAAGAACGGGCACTGCTTCTGCGATTTGTCCGGCTTATCGCTCCTTTCAGCTTGCTTCTTAGGCTCGGCCTTAGCCTTAGGCTTCGGCCCCTTTCCGCCTTTACCACCTCCTTTTGCGGGGAGTGCGGACGAGGATGGTTGAGCACCGCCGCCCTGGCCTCCCTTTCCTTGCTGCTTGAGACGCTCAAGTTCACGCTTTCTCAGCTCCTTGTCATGGGAGTAAGGGCAACCTGAGCCCTTGCTGCAGCTACCGTGATCCCGGAAGTGCCAGCATAGCTTATCCTTCCGCGGATCACCTGCGGTGATTGCAATGTTTGCACCCGATGCTGGGCCCTCCTTAGCATCCTTCTTCAACTTCTTCGGGTGCTTTGGTCGGCCACTCGGACGGTCCTCACCTTCACCTTGGAGTGTGTAGACTGCACTCGCGGTAGCTCGGTTGGTTGCCTCCCGTTGCTCGAATTCGAGGACAACCTTGTGGGCCTCTTCCCATGTCTGAGGTCCCCTCAGAACTGCTTCGGAGCCCCATAGCCTCTTGTCTCCTCTGATCTCCTTTTGGAGCGTAGGGCTAACCTTTCGAAGATAGCTAAGGAAAAGTTCCCGGGGAGTCTTGCCAAGGCCGACCGACTCGAGCTCTGCCACTGAATGTTCAAACAACGGTTCGAACTGGTGTCCGGTAAGCTTCCCCTTTGCCAGGCTGGCATGCTCGCTGTCGATACGAATCTCACGTTCTTCTCTGGACTCACTGAACATGAGATGCTTAGCCTTGATCCGCTCGTAGACCGTTTCCGGGCTGTTCACAACCTCTCCGGCTTGCCAGGCGGTCTTGTACAGGTTCTGGTACGTCTTCAGACGACTACCCCTGCATCTGGACCGGAGTGCTAACAGCATCTCCCTCGCACTCATTCCTTTGCAAGAGTTGGCTAGGCCGCAGATGTCCTCAAACTCCTCATAGAATTGGGTCACGTCGCGAAAATCAGCGCGATCGTCTCCGAGTGTCGGCCAGTGGAGGTCCGTTTTGACCGCGGTCACAGAACTGGTACTGCGACCCGCGAGGGCTTCCTTCAGCACCTTTGTCTGTGCTTCCAAAGCCGCGGCGAGTCCGCTAACCGACTCTACCGATCCTCCAGCATCAGACATCGCCCCTGTGTCCTTCTTTGCTGCTCTTAGAGCTTCCACTTCCATTTCCAAAGCTGCGAGCTTAGCTTTTAAAGCGAAACTCTCGCCGCCAGGAGACTTGTCACGTCCTCCAGCAGGACCTGAAGGGCCATCCTTCCTTGCTCCGGTTCCTTTAGAATCGGATGGAGTACTGAAAACCTTGTCAGGACTCGCACTCGGATACCCTCCCAGCTGCTGAATGATCTCTCCTACCGCTCCGATAGAGAGGTCTTTCTCTCTCTAAGCAAGAAATCCACGCGACGTGCCTAAGACGATGAGATGCAAGGAAACGAGAAAACCAGAAAACCGAGAAAACCAGAAAACCGAGAAAACCGAGAAAACCAGAAAACCGAGAAAACCGAGAAAACCGAGAAAACCGAGAAAAGGAGAAAACCGAGAAATGCGGCCAATAGTGCTAGTCTCCTCGGCGTTTTCCTGTTCTCGCGGTTTTCGCGGTTTTCGCGTTTTCGCGGTTTTCGCGTTTTCGCGGTTTTCGCGTTTTCGCGGCTTTCAATGCTCTCGCAGTTTTCGTGGTTTTTGCGTGTTTCGCGGTTTTCGTAGTTTTCGTGTTTCGCGGTTTTCGCAGTTTTCGCGGTTTTCGCGAGTTTCGCGTTTTCGCGGTTTTCGCTGTTCTCGCAGTTTTCGCGATTTTCGTGGTTTTCGTGTTTCGCGGTTTTCGCAGTTTTCGCAGTTTTCGCAGTTTTTGTTTTTTGGCTGCTTGCGCCGTTCTTGTTGTTTTCGCATTTCCGCCTTTGATATTTCCATGCCATACTATTTTCAAACAGAAATCTAAATAGAGAAGTGCCGGTTTCCTTGTCATAACAGCCATTTGCAGACTTGCAAGCACACACACACACTTACATTACATGTCTCTTACCTTTACGTTTACAATCTATATATATAATTATATATATACACATAATATGCGTACTACACTTACATGTTCATGTACTTGCATTTTTGTGCACACACCAACCCCTCCATCTGCTCATACATCAACACATAGATACATAGATACAAAATGATACACAGATACAAAAGTGCATACATAGGCAGAAAGATAGATACAAAAACATATTTCGAACACATCACAGGACACTCCCATGCAATACAATACAAAGGAGTACAGCACAATACAACACAATACAAAACAGACAATACGCTACGCCACGTTACTTTACAACACAACACATACGGACAAACACGCAGTACATTATGTTAATTTCGTTTCCTGCCCTTACCTTAGATTACCTGCATTGCATTGCATCAAACTACATTCTACTACATCACATTGCACAGTATATTTCACTGCATTACAATCCATTGCGTTACACTACGCTGCATTGCAATGATGTAATTCCAAGGGTACTAACAGGAACGCACACATATAGGTACATACATAGAAATATGGATGTATACATAAATACACTGATTCTAGCATAGATGCATATGCACACATGTATGGCAAACATCCTTACACACACACACGCCAAAGATACCGAGATTCATAGACGCATAAATGCACAACATGCTATGATGTTACGCTGCATTTCATATACGTAGATCATGTGAGAATCGTACATACATCGGTACATGCATGTTTTCGTTGTGTTCACCGTCCGATTCATGGCAAGGCATTCCATAATGTTCACACATAGAGACATTCATAGATACATAGAGACATACATAGATACATAGAGACATATATAGAGATATACATAGAGACATACATAGAGACATACAAAGAGACATACATAGAGACATACATAGTTACATAGAGACATACATAGCTGTACACATACAAAGATACATACAAAGATGCATCCCACTTCGTTGTGCGGCATTAAATTTTGTGTTACGTGACGCCACACGACACCGCAATGCTGGATTTCACATTATACACACCCATCCATGCATCCAAACACACTCACATATATGTTGCATTACATGCATAAATGTGTATCCCCGTAAATGAATGTACATCGTATATATATATGTATTTTATATATATACATGCATATAAATGTATAATATATATATATATGTAAAATATATATGTAATATATATATATGTGTATAATATAAATATATATGATATATGTATATATATATGATATACATATATATATATATAACATATGTATATATACATATATATATATGTAAACCATATATACATATAAATATATGTGTGTAATATGTATAAATATATATATTAGTATAATATAAATATATGTATAATAGATATATGTATAATATATAAATATATATGTGTATAATATAAATATATATATATATGTAAACCATATATATATATGTAATATGTATATATGTATGTATAATATAAATATTTGTATAATATATATTTATGTATACTATGTATAATTATGTAATATATATATGTAATATATTATATATTGGTTGCGTTGAAATTACAAGGCATTACATCACATGCATCATGTTACAACGCGCTGCGCCAGCTACATAAATAGATACAAAGATCGATCCAAAGAGACACACATGCATGCATACATACGTCCGAAACATGCATGCACACGTGCCTGCAGGCATAAAGGCAGTCCGTTAAGTTTCATTATGTTGCCACTTTTCCTTTTGCTTGCATTGCAATGCACCACCTCAATAAATACATACAAACAAACAAAGATGCCAGCATAGATGAGAACATAAATGCAGACTACATAAATATGCATAAATATGTCCGTCGAATTTTGATTAAAACACGGATGCATAACAAGAACACTAAATACAGGTAGATTGGATGACAGAACATTAAAGGTTGGGAAGGATTAGACAAGCGATAGAGGAAATACAGATAAATAGATAGATAGATGGATAGATAGATAGATAGATAGATAGACAGATAGATAGAGAGATAGAGAGATAGAGATATAGAGAGATAGAGAGGTACGTAGGTAGGTAGGCAGATAGATAAGGCGAAGATAGGTGATATACAGATGGACGGGCAGATAGATAGACGGCTTGGTAGATTGATCGATAGATAAACAGAGAGATGACGAGAAAGAGAGGGAGAGAGAGAGAGAGAGAGTGGGATAGATGCATGGATACACAGATACATAGATACATCAATACATAGATACGTAGCTTAGATACATAGCTTAGATACATAGCTGAGATACATAGCTTAGATACATAGCTTAGGTACATAGCTTACATAGATAGATAGGATGGATGGATGGATGGATGGATGGATATATGATAGATCGGATAGATTAGATAAAACAGATGGACTAGATAGATAGATTACAATAGATAGATAAATTAGATAGATTAGATAGATTGGATGGACGGACGGACGGATGGATGGATGGATGGATGGATACGTAGGTAGGTAGCTAGCTAGCTAGCTAGGTAGGTAGGTAGGGCTAGAATGAAATATAGATCTATAGATACCGTAAAAAACATTCACATCACATGAACCTGCATTCCGCTACTCTGTACTTGAAGTCCCAGTGCAACACAGATCAACACCGCTATTGCAGCGCAATATAATTATTTTGCATTGACGTGCCGCTAGATCCGGAGATGATCATAGCTGTCCAACTTTCGCGCTCTTGTGCTTCCGTGCGCGTTTTCGCGTTTTCGCGGTTTTCGCGGTTTTCGCGTTTTCGCGTTTTCGCGTTTTGCTGCCCGTTTTCGCGTTTTCGCGGTTTTCGCGGTTTTCGCGTTTTCGCGTTTTCGCGTTTTGCTGCCCGTTTTCGCGTTTTCGCGTTTTCGCGCGAAAATGCCGCGCATCACCAAAGGCCGAGACACACACATTTCCTGCACAGTTTCTCTCGAGGGCTCATCTTGTCGTCCAGGGCATACACTGTGAACTTGTCCCTCAGAACTGCTACGGCCCGTCTTCGATCCATAGTGCCGATTTCGCCGTACAGCTCGATCAAGATCTCAGCCTTGCGGGTGATCAAGTCAAGCGTGTTTGGAGCACACCCTGCGTCCAAAACCTGAAGTGCAGTGACGACTCGTCCCATTCGTAAGAGATAGTCACCCAGGTCTTCCTTTTCATGATCATATAGGGCGCTGATCTGGGCTCTCAAGCCAGTCACGCTTGCAGCCGCAGAACCTGCAACAGAAGGAGTTGGACTGCCCTCAGGCGGTTCGGACGGACTGGGTGAAACCGCGTGAGGAATCGCCAGAACCCCTTCAGGACTTCCTTCCATTTCTCCTTCCTCATCTTCTTCTCCGAGCGCATCTGCTCGATCGTCTCCATAGAGATGCCGCATGACTTCTCTCCACAGCTCTACCTCTTCAGCAGTGGTTAGGCCTCGTCCATCCCGTCGACGCGTAGGTCTCATGCCTTCGCCGCGTCGCCAGGCTTGCCATCTCGGGAAAGTCATTTCAGCGGGGCGCGGGATCCGACCCGCATCAATTGCATCCAGCAATGTCACCCCTTCAGCTTCTCCTGACACTTCACGGCTCATTGCGGCAGGAATGCGCAAACAGCGCAGACCCTACCGCGCAGCGGCGCGAAGCGCAGACCGCTGCCGCGGGTGGCGCGTCAAAGCGCGAACCGCGACAGTGACCGCGACTACCTGGCTGAACTTTAACAGCACAGGGTTCCCAGAACAGCCCCCAATTGTGGGCGAGACGGACACTGGCCGCTCAGCTGTTTTTACCCACGCACGCAAGTCGCGGGCGGCGGTCGAGGCGACCCTGCAAGCAGCTACGCCTACGCTAAGCTAACGGGCCACTTGAGCCAAAAGGCATACACTGTACACTGTACAACGCAACAAGTGAAACACAAAAGACAGCTACGGTGGACCTACTGCACGGCTTAGCTACGTCTAGCTACAAATTATAAAATGTTATATAATTATGAATTATATATATATAGATATATAGATATATACATACGGGTTCGAATTTGGGGGAAGGGGTCGCACCCGGCTTCTTGTAAGCATAAACTGGTGGGATTTTGGAAACCTTTATAGAATGGATCGGTTTTTGGGAATTTTGGCCCTTACAAAAAACATAGGTTTTTAGCACCCACATTCGACTCTAAAATCTGTCATCATTTTGTAACGTGACAACTTTCTTCATGATATGAATGTTGTATCCCACTCAATGACCTTTTTATAAGAAGGTGTGATTTCAGATACTGTAGCATTTTTGGTACCTGCTATCATTTTGTAAGGCAACAACTTCTGGTTCCCTGTTTTTTTCCCCGGTTTCGTTGATTTTCAAGCAGCTTTTGTAAGGATTCCTTTTCTTTGCCACCTTTTGAAATTTTGTGTTTTTGCTTCTCTGCCTCCACCAAATCCAAAAAGAAATTGAACTCAAAATGGCTGCCATAAAACTTGGACTGTGCCTTACAAAATGACAAGGTGCTTGCAGCCCCAGGAAGCTGCCATGAAAGGGTGTTTTACATTTTGCTGTGTCATCGCTGTGGTTTCGAAAATAGCCAAAACAACTATCAGATGATTGAGTCGAATCAAAAACATGTACAGTGTACAGATCTGAACAATAATTGGTATCAATGCCTAAAAAGCATATATTCTTACAAAATTGTTCTTCTACTCTTGGTGACATCTCATTACAAAATATCATTGCACACCCTGCTGAGTTTTTTTTTGGGATGTTCAACAACAAAAAAACAAATTCGATGGTTTTATACAATGCGTTGGCCCCTCAAAACACTAAATGAACACTTCAAAATGTACAACTTTGCCTTTTAGGTGTCCTATTACAAAATGCCTCGGTTAGGGGGCTTCTTATAACTACAAAATGCCTATATATAAGCCATTTATAAGAGGGTCGACCCCTTCCAAATTATAAGGGAAATTCCAACGGGGATATTATATATACATATACATATTCAGTTCCTCTCACCATGTTTCAGTGTTTTTCACTGTGCTTTCTGGTGCTGCAAAGCCTGTTTGAGACACAAGCCTGTAAATTGGCAAAGCCTCTGTATCGCTCATGGGTCAACTTACTCAGGCTATCCTGAAAGCAAAGCAGCAGCTGTGGCAGTAGAAAATGTGTTACATCAGCCACTTCGCTGGAAAATCTGTGCAGCCTCTGTTTGCAGGATTGCATCTTCAATGTCCTGGAGCGAACCGTGTGTGAGGACGTCAAAAAAAATGTGCGGAGTTTGGGGTCTTGTCCATTCGTGTTTATCGGCTTGTCAAGGAGCTGCAAAATCAGCTTATCTGTCCAACCATTCTCAGAAAAAAAACAGCTGGCCGCTTCGGCAAAGAGCGAAGTCGCAGTGCGTGTCCATCACAGGGCAAATTTCATATGAAATCACAGTTCATGAAAAGAAAATGCAAGAGCTTCAAAGAGAGCTTCGGTGGGAACCTGCATGCATTTGAAGGAGGTGGCGATGACCTTCTCATGAGCAGCTGCCTGGTAGCAAACTATGGCCACTCCAGCGATTCCCTTGCAGTTGCCATGCGTAAAAGAAGAGCGTATAGTGTAAAGTGGCAGTTAGGACTGGCTATGCGAATCGTGATCACCTTGTTGAAAACTGCCGTTTTTTTGGCTTCCTTCTCTCGCTTGTCCTGACCGGTGAGGGCTGTTTTGCTCAAACGTAACAAGATTCGCCAAGCTCCCAAGTTTTTGCACTGCTTGCAGCTTGCATCGTTGAGATAAGCTTTGGTCCATGGCATAATTCCTTGACTGTTGCACTGAGGTTGGCGCTGCTTCCTGAGCAGCTTCCTTGTTGGATGCCTGCATACGCGAAGTGTCAGCAGAGTTTACATCGCTATGTCAGAAGTCAGCTGCATCGAAAAACAACACGCTGTTGAAAAACTGCGGCGTCATGAAGTTCAGCTGTTCACCATAGCAGGCACCTCCGCGACTTCGTTGTTGCGCACAATGGTTAGCATGTCACGGATGAGGTTTCGAGCCTGGATCAATTTGATGACGCCGGGACCCACTGCCCAAAACAACTACAAACCGGGCGTGGATGCAATATGATGCAATCACTCAAAGCTCATGACTATAACATCTCACAGCAAACTGACCCATCAGCACCGATAAGTAACTAAGTACCAACTGGCCCGATGCCACCACTGTCCACACCGAGCAAAAGAGCAGGAACCTGCATCATGTTCTTCTCTGAGGACTCAATCCATTTGCCCTGGCAAACGCTTCGTGAAAGTTGTCCAAGACTCAACTGAGATAAATTAATGACAACTGATGACAACTACATGGGTCCAGAAAGCTACATGCAACACCTGTGAGCAACATGTGACAATCAAAATCAAAACGCATCAAGCAGTTGCACAGGTGCTGGAACAAAATCCCGCTATTCCATTTTTCCTTGCATGTCAGTTGCTACTCAGCACAACGTGATTGTGCCTGGTTGCCAGGTGACATAGGTTCTGATGGGGCTGCATCCTTCTTCTCTGCATTTTCTTCCTTCACCTCTTTTGGTGCTTCTTTCTTTGCGTCTTTTGCTGCCTGCCGGTGATGCAAAATCTGCCATGGGTAAATTTAATTTGGTCAAGCCCGGTCCACTCTGCAATCATCACTTCCCGGACGTCCACTCCCCCCACCCAACAACCCACTCACACAACAGCCTCGGGCATCTTGATGAAAGCCACTCTCTGGAGGCAGTACAGGAGGATGACTTTTCGAGCAGAATGGAGCAGCGGTATTCATGCATCTAGTTCACCACGCACCACCTCTATTACTGTTTCCACACAAATAAGACTGTAACCGTACTTATATACAGTACAGGTATGGTTGGAGAAGAGGTATTAAGGATTTCAACTGGCGTTTTCTTTGCTGCAAAGCTGAAACATGGTCCAGTTGTGTCCAGTTGACATCCCCTAAGGGTTACCCCATTCTTGGTAGGATCATGGCAAAGCAGCAGCTTTTGGCCGCAGCTGGTGGCATCTAGAAAAAGTCAATTGACTTGGCTGCCTCTGCACCGTCTGCATCCTGCTGCTGAAATGCAAGGATTTTGGATTTAAAAAACAAACTCTTCAATTTTTTGACTTAAACATCAAGCGGAATGAAACTAATACTAAATGAAAAACATTGAAAAAACTGAAAAAACGTGTTTGTCTGCAAACTTTCGGATTCTCACACACTTTTTCGTAGCACTATGATGCTGTACAGCGAGATACTTACATTATTTCTCGACTGCTGGCCTGGCTGCGCCCCAGGTGCACATCGGGCAAGTCATCTGGCTCCTGAGTTGTCAATGTATCGTCAAAGTCAGTCCAGGCTGCAATTCGCAAGAAAATGGCTGCCCATGCCATGTCTGGCGCATTAGTCTAGGCTGCAATTCGCAAGATAAGGCAATGAGTTGACATGAGTTGAGAATGAAGATTGACAGCCAGACAATCCAGACAATCCAGACATGGGCAATGCGATCGTGTTGCGTCTCTGATCTCCAACATTCTCAGACTCGCTCCTCTTCTGGAGGCGATGCCATACATGACTCTGGTAGTGGGGCGTCAGGTGGTGTGGCATCACCAGGCAGCTCGGCTTGCTCCGTCCCTACCAATCTGAGCAATCTAAGATTGAGCATGCCGGTGTTGTCTATTAGTTCAATCTGAACAACTGTGAACGCACATTTATGATGTTTATGTCATTTATGTCATTATGATTCTATGTCCAGCCGTCCAAATGACTACCATCGCGCGGCCTGGCTTGGGGCGGCTTGCCTGGGCCTTTTTGGCAGCTTTTGCCTCTTTGGCTGCTCGTTTCTTGAGGTTGCGCTCCTCGTAACTGAACCATATTCCAGAAACCCGAGAAACGAAATTGCTTGTCGTTTCGCAGCTAAGACTGGAAAAAAGCTCTGGCAGTTTCTCGAGTGGCTTCAATTTTTTCTCGCAATTCTCAAAGTTGCGTGAAGCATGCGACGAATTACGGGTCACTTGCATTGTATTACAGGCATCATGCCAGGTTCCAAACAACTACAGGTCCTGATATCTAGGCTCCCTCACTAAGGCCAACTGACCATCTTTCCAGTTTGTCTGCAGAACACAAGGGCACACCAAATGGCTCCATCGCCTGCCTCATTGCGTCCGCTCATGTACTGGCCCTGATGCATTTGGCCTCGCCAGGGAAGAAGTTGGGGGTGGGACGACCCCCTCGCCTGATTGGGGACAGGCCAAAGTCCACATCACCATCTCGGCGGTCAACTGGCCCCACAAAGCGGCCAGCCATAGATGGTGGCAATGGTGCGTCACGATGGCTGCCAATGTTTCCAAGGCTTCGGTATTCCCTTTCTGGTCGTTCCCTTTCAGATCTTTCAGGACGCTGTGGCGTCATGCTTCGGCGCTCAAAGGCTTCACGGATTTGCTTCACAGTACCAACTGGTGGAGCTTCACCTTCTTCAGCCGCACTACTGACACTGGCCAAGGTGCTCGGAGCATTGCTACTGGCGGGAGCTCTCATGTCATTGGTGTGCTTTGCTCTGTCCTCCTGTGCAGTCTCCATCTTCTTCTGACTTGATTGGGCAGCTGTCCCAACATTAGCTGCAGTCATCTGTTGCTGATGTAGCTGCATCATCTCTTCTTTCAAGCGGGTGTTCTCCTTTTGCAATGCAGCTTTCTGCTTTCTCTCTGCCTGAAGCTCTGCATCTGAATCACGGAGTTCTCTCTCCAGTTTGCTCATTTGTGCCATTGTCTTCTGCAGCGTCTTCTGGTCATCATCACTTTTCCTCTGCATCTTGTGCAATCTGTCTTCCAACATAGCCTTGTCCCGGTTCTCCTTCTTGAGGCGCTCATTCTCAGACAACAGCTCCTGGTAGGAGTTCTGCGCAGAGTGTGAATGACCTCGATCACGAGCTTCCGGCATGGTGCCTCGTTCTGGGGATGTTGCCTTGTAGCTTTGCCTTGCTGGACTGGGCACCGACTCCAGGGCTGAGTTTGCCAACTTCCCATCTTGCCCACTCTGGCCAGCAGGAGTTGGTGAAAGGGTGCGGACACAACTTCCTGGAAACCAACCGGTCTTTTCTTCCTTCCCTTCTTTGTGTCCACCCCACCATCCAGTTTCATCCTGCTCCAAGATTATGACGATCTCGTTGACCTTCAAACTCAGCTGCGAGTCATCTGTCGCGCTGTGCTTCTTCACTACCACCGCACGGACATAGCCCTGACACTCTGCATCTCCCCAGTAGGACTCCATTGATGTCTCCATCTCTGCAACACCGTCGCAAGCAACTAGGACCTCTGGCTCAACAAACTAATGAAATCTTGACACCAATACTTTTTGCACATTTTGAATCTAAGCCTAGTTTGTTCTCTGTATGTTAAGTGTGCTGCGAATAATGCCAAAGGGATGCATCAAACTCTGCCTTCACTTTGAGCCGTCACGGTATTCAAAACCCAAATGAAGCGCTGCCAAAATGCTCGATTCAGACAGGACATCTGTGAGCAAAAAACAACATCGTGAAGCTCGTGTGTGTGTGTGTCTTGGCGTTTGTCTGTGTGCGCATGATTGCACATGCGTGCGCAGAAGGAGGGACTTTAAAGAAATTGAAATGCATTCCACAGCTGCAACATGGGCAACCATGTTGGTCCAGTGGTCCTGCTTCTTTTTTCGCTCTTCTTCTTTTTTAGCAGCAACCAATGCTTTTTCTGCTGCTTCGGCTGCTTTTCGCTCCTCTGACTCGGAAGAACTTGAACTGTCCCCGGATTGGCCATCTGAATAGTTCAAATAGCTCAGGGTGTTGAATCTAGGTCTACATTCCAAGTGACATTCCAAGGGCAAAGCAATAATCGAGCCAAAGTGAAGAAAGCATGGTGCCAAGGTCTACCGTTCACGGATTTCTCAGCATGTCCCACTCTCCTGGCGCTTCTGCTGGATGCGTTTGATCCTCGCCTCGTCTTCGGCCTCTGCTTCTTCCGCTGCCTTCGCAGCCGCCGCGGCTGCAGCCTCTGCATCGATCTGCGGGGCCACAGGTTCGGGCGCCACCGGTGCCTGAGGCAAAACGCAGGAGATGCCGGAGATGCAATGGGCTGCCGTTCAGAAAATTCAATGAGTCCAACAAAACAAAACGCAAAGCAAACCACGACAAACTGCTGGGTCGACTGAGGTCTCAACAGGCGGAGGCAAGTCTGGCGCATCTTCTGCAAGAGCAGTGCCAGTCACCTAATGGTTTCGAACAGAACTATGGCACTCTTGACGTACGTCTTCTTGGATCTTGTCAGTTGTTTCACTCCACTTCCACCAAATCGCTCGATCACTCTAAACATGTCCAAACCAACCAGCCTGACCGGACATGTCTAGCCTTCCATTCTTCCATCAAATCCAATCCTTCTGCACACAAGGATGCGCCTCTGCTTCGACAGGTGGCGATGAAGGCTCCTCTTCCTCCTCAACAGGCTCCCTGTACACATAGAGCTCAGGCAAGCCACCAAATCGAAACCTGTCAGCTCACGGAGCATGTGAATACATAGCTGGTAACTTCAAAGCATATAAATGGATGGTCGCGGCACCTGGCACCATTGACCAGTTCCACCGGGGACTTTGCCTCCAATTTTTCTTTGTTCATGGCCTTCCAAAAGGTCATCCAGGGACACAAAAATCTAAAAGGAACTCAGATTTCGCTTGGAACCCGGAGCCCCTCTGATGATCAAAGGAAACCACAAAATAAATCCCGAGCGAGCTGCAGTGCCATATGTCGAGCCAAGGTCGTTCAAGAACAGCAGGGGGCCCTGGCTTGTCACCTCCGCCTCAAACCATGTTGGACTTGCGGGAAGGGAAAATAAAATATGCTGCTGCATGTGCTTGAGTACAAGCTGGCACGGAGCCCCATTAGTTTTAGTTGTTGAAGTTAAGTAGCAGCTGACCTTTAGGCACTATGCGGTCATCCTTCGACTATGCGTTTGTCCAAGGAGCATGTTTTCTGGAGATGCGTGGGTTGCCAATGGCAATGTCCACTCCAGCCGGACCACGACCTAAAAAGGGAGGAACTTCTCTTGTCAGATTAAATACCGCGGCATGTGGCAAATAGATGCTAAACGATGTCATCTAGCTACCAGCGATATTTCGAATTCATCCGTGTCATTTTGCAGCAATGAGCAGCCAGAACAAAAATGCAGAAGCTTCTACAACAGCTGTATCAAGGACTTGAGCACGTGACCTATGATCCAACTGGACTTGTCACCGCCGAGCGCGTGAGTACGTTGGTGCTTTCCAGATTTGTACACTTCGAAGCAAGGGCTTGAAGTGGGTTCCATCATGTCCGGAATCTTCTGGTTCCAGATCTGCACATGTTTTAGCGGAAACGACCGCTCAGTCAAAGCCCGACAAAGCATTGAGAAAGATAGAAAATGAATGAAAATGATAGAAACATCATATCACCACCGAGCCTTGGCATCTAGCTTTTCTGCCTTGGCCTTTCTTTCTGCTTCATCTGCTTCAGTTCGCTGCTCCTAGCATCACCGACGGCACACTAAGTCAGCATACCAGGCATAGCAGCACCTCTCTCTCTCTCTCACGCCGGTCTGCATGAAGCTGCAAGTGGCAGCTGCTGCCTTGCCTTTTCCTGAACCTTCTCCTCAGCAGCTTTCTTTTTCTTCTCCTCCTCTTCCTGCTCCTGCTTCTTTCGTGCGTCCTCAGCCAGCTTCCTTTGTAAAATAGAGTGTTGTTCGAACACCATTGCCTTCCGCCTTTGGGCTTCTTGCTCCTACATGGGCCCAAGAGCCGACTCTCCATGTACGCACAGAAAACCACAGAGGTTTTGCGGTGTTGAAGCAACACGCACACACACAGCGCGGATCACTTCAATAGCACTCTCGCAACATCTGCTCAATGAGCACTCCTTTTTCCGAACCTCAGCCTCCTTTTTTCGCCGCTCCTCTGCCAAAGCTTCAAGCTCCTGCCTTAGAAACCAAAGGTGAGATAGGGCATGATCGGGCCCTTGGTTTCCCAAAGATAGGAGCACTTATATATATATATAATATATATATAACTGCAACAAAGGCAAAGATAGGCACAGGATGGAGAAAGGCTTAGAGCACCGTGCAACATTTTGACTCAGATATGATATGCCGCAACGAGGCATTCCTGTTCTAGCCCTGCCCAAATCTGCCCACAATACATCTGCCATGGCGCTGGCGCTTGCGTTCCTCAGCCTCCCTTTGTAGGCGTTCCTTTTCCCGCTTCGCCTCCAGCTCCTTTCGCTCCTTCTCAAGCCGAGCAGCTTCTTCCTGCTTCCTTTTCTGTTCCAGCTCTTTGGCCTTTCAGCACTCTGCATGCTTTAAAATCTTTAAATATGCTTGAATCCAGTACCTCCAATGTAAAAGTCATGTAAACAGTGATTTGCAGAAGGATTGCTTGAATGGCAGCTTCATGAAGCCTTCTTGGCAGCTTTAATTCGTCTCTTCTCCTCCTCAACCAGTTCCTGTTCCAAACTGTTCTGCCAGCAGTGCTGTAGTTGTCACATGTTGTCACTAGCATCCACAAACCTGTCCAACCTGTCCTCCTCTGCTTCGGCTTCTTCCTCAACCTCCTGATATTTCCTTTTCCTTTCCTGATCCTTTTCAGCCGCTAGTTGTGCACTTTTCCTGGCCTCGTCCTCTTGGGCCTAGGCAGTTGGAGATGTTGGAGTGCTGCTGCCTGTCCAATTCTCATGAAATTCCTAAGACCGTAAGTTGCACATATGCCTTTTTGTACCAGAGCTGGTGATGAGAAAAGCCAACAAACATATAAGAAATCCACAGAACTCCAGCAAAACGTGCATGTGTGCAAACAGGTGATAAATCTCCCTCTCCCTCTCCACAAGCAGCAACCGTCCTACAAGCCAGCAGTTGGAAACGGTAAGGGCTGAACAAAAGAAAGGAAATCTTACATCAGATATGCAATCATCCACCCTCAAGGGCAGGAAATGAACAAAGACAGCTAAAACTCGACATCCCTTGTCAGAACTGACTAAAGTCTGCCTTGTCAGCACTCTTTTGATCCGCACCATTTGCAGGCACTTGCTTTGTTCCACTGGGTGGTTGAACCTGAGTGGACATGCAAGCCCACATCAAAGGCAAAAGGATGTGATCCAATGACCGAACGAATGGCAACACCATGGCCTGCCTTCAAATGACTGCAATGCTTTCAAGAGAAAACATCTCTGTTGACTCTGTTGCATCGTTAAAGTCTTTGATAGTCTTTGTATGTTAGGTAGGTAAGCTCGTTCAACAGTCCTCTGGTCGATATTGGCAATGGGCCTGCGTACGGTTCGTCGCTGGATGAGCATAATAATAGGTGCCTGGGACAGCCAAGGCTTGGAAGCGGACGAGTAAAGATTTTCCTAACAACTCAGACTTACTAAGATTCAAATCAAGACTTCTGCTATACCAAGATCGCCTGGTTTGGTTCGTGACTCGATCTTCTTCCAGCCGGTAGGAAGCTCCTCACGAAGAGCTTGCCGAGGCAATGGGTTCCTCTTCAGACTCTCTGAAACAAAGTCGATCCTGAAGCAGGAACATGGAGAACAAGGTGGAACACTGTCACTGCTGTTGTCAATGCTTTGGCTTCAGGCATGCTTTTACAATGGGCAAGAAAGGGCTTTGCCAAGCGTCACTGACGACATGACTTGGTCAAGCAGGCCGTTGCAAAAGCGCTCATTTCAGGCTGAGATTGAACATTAGATCTTTGGCTGCAGCACATGCAAGCGGTGCAGTATGCTTGTTCTGGACTATGATAAGTTGTTTGGTTGACTGCGGTGACGTTCGGTTCTTCGAAACATGTCTACTCCTACCATCTCCTACCATCTCCTACTTCTGTTGCATGAAAGAATGGCTGAGAAGAGCCAAAAGTGGCACCATGGAGCTGTAGCGACATGTAGCGACTTTGAGGTATCTTTTTTGGAGCTAGGAATGTTTCAAGGTGAAAGCCAGTTTTTGAGTCATGTTTGAGCAATGATATGATATGCCAATATATGATATATATGTCATATTCCATGCGAGTTGCAGTACTTCACTCAGCAGCCTTTTTTGAAAAATGATGTGGTGCTCTCGGCAGCCCATAAGAAGAGAATGTCTTCCAAGTGCCCTCAAGGGCACTGTACTCTTGAAGCATCCAAGCGGCACACCCTAAAGGGAGCCAAAGATTCCATGGAAATTGCCATGTAACTTCTCCATCTGCTTCGCAGCATGTAGTTCGCAACATGACGCATCGCAAAATTGTGCAGCAAGTGCAAAAGACTGCATTTGGATGGGAGCTGTTTCACAGGCTGCCCATACATGCTCTAGTGACTCTAGTTACCAGAAGGCAACTGGTCAAAAACATAAAATGGGGTTGAAGACAACTACACTCGGGAACATCTCTTGCCAAACAATCATCTAAGCCTAAGCAAGGCCCAAAAGCCGCATGTCCAGACCTGGCCAGAGCGGCCATGCAACACAGACATCAGTGCAGCAAAAGACAAGCGGATGACACCTGGAAAAATGTATCAAAATGTGGAAAGGTGCGGAAAGATGTGGAAAAATGTGAAAAATGTGGAAAGATGTGGAAAAGTAAAATCGACAGCTCCACGTACGGGAGGAAGCCTTGGGCACTGCCGCTGCCTGGCCCTGCAGACTTTGTGAGGAATTTGACGCAAGTCACAGCTCCACTAAGTTTCAACATGCTGTTCTCTCTGGTTCGGGGTACGTGCCACTAAGGTCAAGGCAATTTCCGCTCGGTCTTCAAATGATTCCACATCCAGTCGTCAAACCTGCCAGTTCTGAGCCATGCTGCCTGCCTCTGGCCGTTCCACAGCAAACAAGGCAGCAGCTCCGTTTGGTGCTGTCTTTAAACATCTGCTCTTCATCGAAATGAACTTCAGACACCTGGCGCGCAGCATGTTCAAACCGACAATTCAAAACCCGAAGGCAATGTCTCGGCCTCTGAGGGCACGCTCCCAACCTTGGTCAACACATAAATCAACACAATCGAATCCTATTTCAGGGTTGAAGGTTGCCCACAAAAATCACCAGCCTGATCCGAACACAACTTGGTGAATGGCTGAACTTCGCCGGCGTCTCGCACGTGTCACCTGTGATCACCAGCTGGTCACAGGTTCAGTGGGACAGCTCCAAAATAGCGACAGCACTTAGCACCTGCTCGAGCTTGGGTTCCTGCATTTTTGGGCAGCTTACAAATAGTAAATGGGAATTTCAGGATCCAAAAGTACTGTACCATATAAGGCCATATTTTATGGGGATGTTCCCTTACATAGGCCTTACATAGGCCTTATATATGGTAGGTACCTCCAATTTAGGATCCTAATAGAAAACAATTGAAGGCCAAATTGAAGGTATGAAATGGAGAAGCGCAGGCAGGCAACGTGAGGACTCAAAGAGAATAGATGATCATGATTCAGGTTGCACGAGCGCATGGAAATCCAATGTTTTCAATACACACAACGAAATATCAATCAATAAAGTCATCTATAGAAAAAAACATTGTGAAAAATGATGGCATCATCTTCAGTCGACAGAGCTTCTTTCTGTCTTGGCCAGTACCCGCTTGCAGTCCTGCATGACAGCCTTCTTCATGCCATAGAGGGCTTGATAGGCGACTGCAACAGCACTGAGTTTTAATGTTTCCTTTTTGTGCTGCAAACTGTCCCCATGCAAAGCCTGCACTTTTGAGCTGCAGTGCTAGAGCTCTTCGAATGTAGCTACAGTATTCATCCAAGAATGTTAGACAAAGGGCATGTTTTGACTGAATTTCATATGGTGTTTTTATGGGTCGAAGCACTTCATACCACTTGACAACAAAGTGCTTCAGTTGCAGTGCCTTTGCTCAGATTTGCATTTGCCTGCCTCAGCATATTCACGCTCTTACACAGGCCAAGATGTTCCTACATCTGCCCCACATACACTTGTTGCAAAGGTGTCTTACGAGGCAATGTTGTGCTAGCCAAGCATTTTTTTAGTGAAAGTAGCAGATTCGTCAAGGAGCTTTTTCTTCTCCTCCCGGTGCTCCTGCACCTCTTCCCTGCCAAGTCTTGAAGAACACATGCAGAGGAACAACCAGGATTCAGATCCTCTAGGCACTCTAGTACAGCCATGTGCTGCCCTTGTGTGATACACGATGAACTAGTCAAATACTCTGGGAATTCCTTCTCCTAGTCACTCCGACACTGATTTGTCAAGACTGCCGTCCATGCCTAAGTTCAGCCAGACGCGCCAAAGCCGTCATAAAGCTCGCACTGGCCCTCGGCAAAGCTGATGATCTCCGTTGACAGCATTAAAGCAAAGAAGCAGTGTGCCTGTGAAGCCTTTGTATTCTATGGTTTGCTTAGGCCACTCCTGCGCAAAGCTCCACAATGACACCCCACATGGACATAGCTCCATTAAAGCACGCCTGCAGGAAGCCTACCGCAAAAAATATCTACGCGGAGCCTACAAAGCCTACGCCACCTAGACCAAAGCCACCACAAAGCAAAACGCAGTTCAAGTGGTATATAAATCGTTTCAGGTGTAAGGAAATCGCGCTTCTCAAATGCGGGAGGCGTCCAGAGTGGGTGCCCAACACACTTGTGAAGAGCGTGTGCAAATCCACAGTTAAGCAAGTCTTTCAAACTAGGCCAGGGACGTGCCAACAATCTCTTTGACGAGGTCATCGGAACCAGAACCTTGGCCGAAGACAACCATTGGCTTTGAGCACACCAAGAAGGGTTCGAGGGCGGAATCGAATCAATGACGGTCTAAATTGGAACCGGGCAAGCCAGCTACAAAATGAGAAAGGAGAGGCCCAGAGAAAGCTTTAACGTGTTGAGTCGCTTCAGTTTGCCAGCAGGTGAGCTGATGAGTGCGGCTCGGTGACTGCGATCTATAAATGAACCAACTAATGTAGCTGGTTGGTCATTTTGTTTAGCTCGGTTGGTTGGTTCGTTGGTTGGATGGCTAAGTTTGCGAGTGAGTTGGGGCTGTTAGCTTTTGTGACCCATTGGCAATATCTTGGAAGTTTACAATGCTGGAAATGTAGGACGCATCTCCCGATGCAAGAATATGACAAGCAATAACGGTCTCAACTCTCAACGCACTGAGCTTCAAACTTGTGGTCTGTTCGCTCCTTGATATTTGGTTCCAGGTGCTGCTGAGAACATGGAAGAAGCACTGGAAGCTGGAGTGCTCAGCTGTGAGCTAACCCAATTTGATGCTGGTCCTGTTCGCGAAGTATTTAGAATGCACATACCATTACAGGTTCAAATCCAAATACTATATCTGGCAAAGCGCAACTCCAGGTCATCGGTGATACGCAGCACCTGAAGTACATCAAAAAAATGGAGCCGTTTGTGGAGGTAACAGCAACGAAAAATGCATTCAAAAGTGGGGACGGCAGTCACTCAACAAATGTGGTCAAGGTCCAAGCCGTTCTGACCTGAGAAGGTCATAAAAGTCCGCAAAAGGTTGTTTTTCAACATCTAGCAATCTAGCAGAGTTGAAAAATAATGTAAACAATGCCTTCTAAGATTAAAACCGATGGAGAACTCAAACAAATCTCCGCCTAAGAACGTGCAGCTGAGAGTTCTCTGGCACTGAACCATTTTTTGTTCACTTTTTCACAGTAATTCACATGCAAAAACAATGGCAATCAGTCAAGTCACGAGAAGTCGATCGACGTTCTCAGCACCTAGCGCCTGGTGATGATGAGACAAGAAAAGAAATTCAGCAATGAGCAACTCAAGAAAAACAAACGATGCCCCACCAGTGGTGCCAACGAATTATGGTGTGCTGGCTTTTGTTATGAATGACCTTGGAAGCTGGATCATCCATGTTTCCTGAGTCCATTCAGCAATTTCAGCGAGAACCTGTTGCAGCCGATGTTGTTGCATTGAAAGCCATCCAGTTCACCAAGCGCCACACGAGCTGCTTTGTATTTCAAATACAAGCCTACAGCAATCGCGCGCATGGTCAAACTGTCTTAGTTTCATAGCATGAAAATGTCCGCGCAGTACCCATGGCCTCCACGGGTAGTGTATTCACGGAGCGGTCTGCCAGTCTGCACCAAGTTCAATCGAGACGTTTTAACCGACAGCTGCACCAAAAAAAATCAGCCGAGGTTAACACCGCAGACTCGCCCATTTCAAATCAAGAGGCGGTTGCAACGCAATGATGGGACGTCTGCCTTGTTCAAGTCGCCAATGAATTCCTGTCACCGTTGTGTGGACTGTGGACATCAAAGTTCAAAAAAAAATGACATATTTACCGTCATTCATTTATAGATTGCTTAAATGTGTGGCAATGATTTTTCATGAAGCAATGAAACATGACATGAATAAGTTCATGTGGGATGACAGAAGTGGCCCTGGCAAAACTACCATTATGCTGATGTTCTACTGATTCTACTGGTATCTTCCATGAAACCTTACCTTGTTTTTCTCTTGGCGCGGGGTGTTCTGCCTCCGCTAAACCCCTAACATCATGAAGTGGGGTTCATTGCAACATGTCCGAATCGATGCACATGCGTTTTCTATTGACCCTTGACTTGTTTTCAACTGGAAATTCACATGGCGCAATATCGATAAAACCATATAAAACCCTTGCACAATTTTGCCAATTTGGAGTCCAACATCAGGGGGTGTTGCTCCATTACCACATGATCCACATGACATGCTGCAAGCTGAAACCAGGGCACCTCCAGAGCGGTTCTACTCAAAGTATCGGAAGCAATAGCACCTGCAAGGTCCCACGACAGTCGAAATTCACAATAAAACACACTTGCCCGAGGCAACCACGTTGCTGTCTCGCTGGTCCATCTTCTCTTTGGACATTGAGCCTCCATGCCTTGTTTCACTGGTTGGTTTCAAGTCCTGAAGGTTGACAATTTTATGCCTGAGTTTTGCACCCCTGTCTCAGAAAGCCTCGGTAGCGCATCCACAAAGATGCATATCCGCATCTCCATGTTTTTCAAATTTACGAATTCAAACCAACAATTTTTGCAATTGAAAAACGCTGCAGATATAGGTCTACCAGATGCGGGTCTGCCGGAAGTAGGTCTAGAGGTTGGCCTGCCAAATGTCGAAAACCTATTGCGAAGTAAAAATTGAAAAATGGAAAAAAATACAAATTATCAACTATTGCCCCAATATCATGCCTGGACCCAGAGTTGAACGAACCTGCAGAACAGAACATGTGCACACTCACGATTGCCAACTATGGTTCCCTTTCAAAAACAAAGGATTTGCGGCCTGCAGACTGAAAGTTTTTGCCGATCGCCATGAAGCACGCAGGAATTGACAAAATTGGCGCGTGTTCCCAACAACTGTCCATTACCAAATTCTCATCATATGATATTTTAGAGTTTTGCATCCCAATGTGCCGTACTGGTGCCGGGCCGAGAAGTACCCAGAATATCCCACGTGGCCGCCTTCCTAGCACAATGGCACAACTATGCGCCATGCCGTGTGTCTCAATAATGTTTTCAACTAACCCTTCGTGCACACACAACATAAACCAAAGACTGCGGAATGCCAATGCCATCTGTGAGGCTAAATTGTGGCACCGTGGTAGCGAATTCTGGCGACAACTCCAACAAAGCGCGCGACAATTCAAATTCCGGCAAACCACATTTCTATTGGACATCAAACTGTATATCCAGTCCACACTAAAGATTTTTACGGTAGCAGGTGAAGGCAGGGTTCGATTGAGGGTTCGCTGTGAGGTTTGGCCGCACGGGTTTTCACAAAAACTGCCCTGAAATTTTCAAAAATTTTGTTTTGACTGCGGATATTTGCGGATGTTGCAACGAATTGCGTGGCAACCGCAAGACTGCCGATGCCTCACCCTCATGGTCTCGCGACAGCTGCAATAATTTGTTCAAACAAAATTTTTTTAAAAAAAAACGTGGATCATTTTGGACCCGTAGAATCCGATGTTGCTTCGGATGCCGAGTTTTTGTGCCTCGTTGTGGCACGGTACGGTGGTTACCAAGTGGATCAAGAGCGTGAAGGCACCGACAGGAACTCAGAAACATGTGCAGGGTGTAGTAGTGAAAGCCCGGCTGTTGAAGTGCCCGATTGGGAGTCTAGCAGTGCTTAGCTAGGGGGCCCAAGGTGCTACACAAGCCTCCGGAAGCCGTGGCGACTGTGATGTCTCTGAAAATAAGTTGCGGTTGCAAATGTTCGCATTGGCTGTACAAAGCGTAGCCGCAACCACTTTGAATTTGTTTACAACACTGCAGCAACCACAAACACGCATGTTTGCTCAGGTCTGCTGGATTTTGTTAGTCTTCAAATGTAAACTGTATGAAATACCCAACGGCATCATTTTCATGCGTTTTGTCCTGGATGTTCAAAAGCGAACAATTTTATCGTATTTGAACGGGGTCACTCGCCACCATTTTATAGAGACCTGTTTGCCATTGTTTGCATGGTTTCAATGTCCTTGCACCCTGACGGGCGTCACCCCCCACCATTTTATAGATGCTGAATTTCCATACATTTTCCCTGTCCTTGGTTTCCGTTGCATTTAATCCCATGGTTTGTCATTGTACATGTTTGTACAAATCCGTAGCCGCAACTGACTCAGTAGATTTGCAACACTACAGCAACCACAGGCACCAATGCTGGCTCAAGTAGATCTTGTTGGTCTTGAAATGATTTTATTTAGTGCTGGTGGCACCTTAAATAACATGCAATACCTAACGACACCTTTTTTCATGCGCTTCGTGATGCAGTTTCCAAAAGTGTTTTATGCTACTTGAATGGGGTCACGCCCCCCCACTTTATATAGTCATGTTGTTCCCTGCCTGCCATTGCTTGAGCACCTCCAATTTCTTTGCGCCCTGATGGAGCCCCCACCATTTTATAGAGCCGCCTGCTGCTCCCTGCCAGCCATTGCTTAAAGACCTCCAATTTGATTGCGCGGTCACCCACCACAATTTCAAAGATTCACATTCTCAGACTTGCCGGACTCAAGTTTGAACCTTGCACCACCTCCGTTCCCAAGCCCCTCCACCTCATATCCATGTTTTTTTGGTATGCACATCCACATATATGTCTACAGACGAGTGCCCCATATTTTTTCATCAAAATTTCCCCATGTTGGCACTCCTGCAACCAAAAAATTCGAAGTACTAGCAAATACTGAGCAGGTTTCACAAAGTTTCCTTTTGCAGCTGGTCATGAACACACATGTATCCCCAAAATTCTCCACATCCCTACTGAAACTTTGAGGTGGGAAGGGAACAAATTGCATTTTTCCCAAAAGCATCTTCGATGCTTGGGTTCTCGTTTAGTTGTTTAACCGCGTGGGGGAGCGACCTGGCTCGAACGGTGGTGTGCGGACGGCGTGGGTGCAAGGGAAAGGAAAGGAAAGGAAAGGAAAGGAAGGGAAACGGAAAGGAAAGGAAGGGAAAGGAAGGGAAAGGAAGGGAAGGAGGAAGGGAAAGGAAGGGAAAGGAAGGGAAAGGAAGGGAAAGGAAGGGAAAGGAAGGGACAGGAAGGGAAAGGAAGGGACAGGAAGGGAAAGGAAGGGAAAGGAAGGGAAACGAAGGAAAAAGGAAGGGAAAGGAAGGAAAAAGGAAGGAAAAAGGAAGGGAAAGGAAGGGAAAGGAAGGGAAAGGAAGGGAAAGGAAGGGAAAGGAAGGGAAAGGAAGGGAAAGGAAGGGAAAGGATGGGAAAGGAAGGGAAAGGAAGGGAAAGGATGGGAAAGGAAGGGACAGGGAAGGGAAAGGAAGGGAAAGGAAGGGAAAGGAAGGAAAAGGAAGGGAAAGGATGGGAAAGGAACGGAAAAGGATGGGAAAGGAAGGGAAAGGAATGGAGCGGACGGCTGCCGGCAAATGGGTGCAGAGAACTGCGTGGACGGCTGCGGACGGCGTGGGTGCAACGGAGTGGCTGGAAACGGGTGGGGAGAAGAAGCCGCTGGTGATGAGCGACCTTGGCTGCGCGGACGGCTGCGGACGGCAAATGGGTGCGGAGAACTGCAGCGCGGAGGTGCAAGGGGGTGGCTGGAAATGGGTGGGGAGAAGAAGCCGCTGGTGATGAGCGACCTTGGCTGCGCGGACGGCTGCGGACGGCAAATGGGTGCGGCGAACTGCGCGGACGGCGCTGCGGACGGCGTGAGTGCAAGGGGGCGGCTGGAAATGGATGGGGAGAAGAAGCCGCTGGTGATGAGCGACCTTGGCTGCGCGGACGGCTGCGGACGGCAAATGGGTGCGGAGAACTGCGCGGACGGCTGCGGACGGCGTGGGTTCAAGGGGGTGGCTGGAAATGGGTGGGGAGAAAAAGCCGCTGGTGATGAGCGACCTTGGCTGCGCGGACGGCTGCGGACGGCAAATGGGTGCGGAGAACTGCGCGGATGGCTGCGGACGGCGTGGGTGCACCCCGTGGCTGGAAATGGGTGGGGAGAAGAAGCCGCTGGTGATGAGCGACCTTGGCTGCGCGGACGGCTGCGGACGGCACATGGGTGCGGAGAACTGCGCGGACGGCTGCGGACGGCGTGGGTGCAACGGAGTGGGTGGAAATGGGTGGAGAGAAGAAGCCGCTGGTGATGAGCGACCTTGGCTGCGCGGACGGCTGCGGACGGCAAATGGGTGCGGAGAACTGCGCGGACGGCTGCGGACGGCGTGGGTGCAAGGGGGTGGCTGGAAATGGGTGGGGAGAAGAAGCCGCTGGTGATGAGCGACCTTGAGGCTGCGCGGACGGCTGCGGACGGCAAATGGGTGCGGAGAACTGCGTGGACGGCTGCGGACGGCGTGGGTGCAACGGAGTGGCTAGAAATGGATGGGGAGAAGGGAAAGGAAGGGAAAGGATGGAAAAGGAAGGGACAGGAGGGACAGGAAGGGAAAGGAAGGGAAAGGATGGAAAAGGAAGGGACAGGAAGGGAAAGGAAGGGACAGGAAGGGAAAGGAAGGGAAAGGATGGGAAAGGAAGGAAAAGGGAAGGGAAGGGAAAGGAAGGGAAAGGAAGGGAAAGGAAGGGAAAGGAAGGGAAAGGAAGGGAAAGGATGGGAAAGGAAGGGAAAGGAAGGGAAAGGATGGGAAAGGAAGGGACAGGAAGGGAAAGGAAGGGACAGGAAGGGAAAGGAAGGGAAAGGAACGGAAAAGGATGGGAAAGGAAGGGACAGGAAGGGAAAGGAAGGGACAGGATGCGGACGGCGTGGGTGCAAGGGGGTAGCTGGAAATGGGTGGGGAGAAGAAGCCGCTGGTGATGAGCGACCTTGGCTGCGCGGACGGCTGCGGGCGGCAAATGGGTGCGGAGAACTGCGCGGATGGCTGCGGACGGCGTGGGTGCAACGGAGTGGCTGGAAATGGGTGGGGAGAAGGGAAAGGAAAAGAAAGGATGGAAAAGGAAGGGACAGGAAGGGAAAGGAAGGGACAAGAAGGGAAAGGAAGGGAAAGGATGGGAAAGGAAGGAAAAGGGAAGGGAAGGGAAGGGAAAGGAAGGAAAAGGAAGGGAAAGGAAGGGAAAGGAAGGGAAAGGAAGGGAAAGGAAGGGAAAGGATGGGAAAGGAAGAGAAAGGAAGGGAAAGGATGGGAAAGGAACGGAAAAGGATGGGAAAGGAAGGGAAAGGAATGGAGCGGACGGCTGCGGACGGCTGCGGACGGCCTGGGTGCAAGGGAGTGGCTGGAAATGGGTGGGGAGAAGAAGCCGCTGGTGATGAGCGAGCTTGGCTGCGCGGACGGCTGCGGACGGGGAATGGGTGCGGAGAAGTGCGCGGACGGTTCTGCATGGCGCGAGTGCAACGGCGTGGCTGGAAATGGATGGGGAGAAGAAGCCGCTGATGATGAGCCAGCGTGGCTGCGCGGACGGCTGCGGACGGCAAATGGGTGCGGAGAACTGGCATGGGTGCAACGGAGTGGCTGGAAATAGGTGGGGAGAAGAAGCCGCTGGTGATGAGCGACCTTGGCTGCGCGGACGGCTGCGGACGGCAAATGGGTGCGGAGAACTGCGCGGACGGCTGCGGACGGCGTGGGTGCAAGGGGGTGGCTGGAAATGGGTGGGGAGAAAGAAGAAGCCGCTGGTGATGAGCAACCGTGGCTGCGCGGACGGCTGCGGACGGCAAATGGGTGCGGAGAACTGCGCGGATGGCTGCGGACGGCGTGGGTGCAACGGAGTGGCTGGAAATGGGTGGGAGAAGAAGCCGCTGGTGATGAGCGACCTTGGCTGCGCGGACGGCTGCGGACGGCAAATGGGTGCGGAGAACTGCGTGGACGGCTGCGGATGGCGTGGGTGCAACGGAGTGGCTGGAAATGGGTGGGGAGAAGAAGCCGCTGGTGATGAGCGACCTTGGCTGCGCGGACGGCTGAGG